CAAAGGCAATCAAACACGCGCGCACACACACACACACACACACACACACACACCAGTCAAACAGTGCTCTGAGCGTTGTGTGTAAGTGTGCATTTCATGGGAATTTGACGCAGGAGCCGATAGCTAATTTTTGTAGTAAAAGATGCACTTTTCTTTAAACAAAACACTTACAGTAACTTCTTACAGTAAAGTCTTTATCTCCAGTCTTGTCCAATGGAAAAGTTTCCAACAAAAGACTTTCAGTGGAACCAAGAAAAAAAGTTAAAACACCACATGTGAGCTTATGCAACTGGAAAATGAGTTGCAGTTACCATTTCAATCCACCGTTTCCATATTTGTCGTCTGTCTAATGCTTCCTGGAATCCAACCGCTCGAGTCAGATCGCTATGTTCCACACAGACACATCTCAGGAAAAGATAGTCAAATGAAGTGAAAAAACAGCTCTTTATAAGGCATTGAAAAGAAATCGAAAAGCAAAGCAAACAATATAATGCAGATGTCACCTTAGAGGCCATTGTTTTGAAACATGTTCCCCACAAAAGACTGTGATGGGAAATAAAATGCACTTTCCTTTGTTTTTTTGTTATTTATTCAAGAAAAAAGTGATCGCTCCATTCGCCCGATTCTGCTTAAAAAGCCGTTTCTTTCTTCTCTTTTAAAACGATGATTAGAAAAAATACTGCTTGAAACGCTCGTCCCTTTTCAAAGGAAAGAGAGCAGTTCTGTTTTGGCAGGTTTGCACAACTTGACATCTGGAAAGAACTTGTCACTGCTTTTTGCAAAAGTCTATTCAAATCTTTTCGTTTCCGCCATCGTCCTGAACCCCCTCCTCTCACATCAGTGTTTTCATTGAAGCCAAAGACTCTTCCCCCATCCCTCCCTCTTGTCGGATGGCCATAAAGCTATACACGCGTGGTGGAGTGGGAGTGTGGCAGGCCGGTGGAGTTGAAGCCAGCTGTGAAGGTGTTGTACGGATGTAGGTTGGGCATGCCCACCAGCGAGTTGGGGATCATGGTTATGGTGTTGGGCGTCATGAGCGGGATATCGTCAGGCGAGCGTCGCAGAGTCAGCGTGTAGTCGGGAAGCGAAGCCAGCCGTAAGGGGTCTCCGGGTGGCCCTGCGTCACACTCGTGGTGCGTCTGGTTGACCTGCACGGAATTTTTTATTTTTTTTAAAGAAATATCAGCATGTTTCCAGCAGAAAATGCATCTTGTACAGAAAATGCATTTGAAGCAAATTGACTTGTTCTGACAAATTATGCTACATAAGGCTATCAGACGGAACATGTTTTTTAGGTCTGAAAATGCGAGGAGGCGCAGCGCACTGCCTTTTTTTTTGGTGACTTTTAAAAAAGATCAGTGTGCTGCAGTATTTTATGTTGCTAGGCAACCACCAAATCAGCTGTCCTGTCAGTCTAATCAAAGGACTACAGCGCGAGCGCTCTAAAATCTTTGTTTTTTTGCTGTTAAGTAAACTGTCATATTAGCAAAAACCTTAAAAAATACAGCTCCTGGTAACCCGCGACAGACACCAAAAGTTTCTCCTCCATCATTGCATTCTCCAGACTTTCTAAGCAACGGTAAACTTTCATCACCACAATGGAAGGCCCGCCTCTCCATTCATTCGATTGGACAATGGAAAAAAAACCCGAATGACGTTGGGTGCTTTTCTGCTCAGAGTTGCTTTTTTTTCAACTTTTTTCCGTTTCCACTACATCATCAAATCTGCGCTCAGTGCCGCTGGCAACGCCACTGCTTTGGGGCGTGTCAAATTTAGGGCAGAGCACACCTCTGCACTTCGGAAACCCTCCACCTTCCCCAGCTCCACCTGTATAGATCTGCTACGAGGTGATTGATGTATGCTATTTGGGGGTTATTTCATGTAAGTTAAATTTGCAGCAGCAATATTTCTTACATGATCACAGCAGCATGTTGTGGATGTATTGGCAGTAGCAAGTCTTGGTATTTGCTCTGCTGCAGCAGCAGCAGCAGCGTAGCAGATCTATTCCGCCAAGACCAAATACATTAACATTGTCATGTACATTACCATGCCAATCCCTCCGAGAGTTGTCATGACAGAACTAGGTTTATATCCTGTTTGCATTTCTTCTTCTTCGTTTAACGATGATTGGTTGTCACCGGCATTTTTCGCTCGATATTTGCATAAAGTCGAGGAATGCCCAACCTTTTTTGCCACTATCGGACACTCTCAACGCTTTCTTCGCGCCACTTTCAATCCCATAATGCACTGCGCGAAGTTCACCGCGTGTTTAAGCTCAACTTCCATAGGAGTGAATTGAAAACGCTCGCTCGTCAGGCACTCAGAGCGCTCCTGCAAAAACAGGAGGCGCAGCAGGCGGCTAAAACGCGAGGCGCCCGGGGCGCATAAACAGCGTGCAAAACGCTCACTACCAATAGAAAACAATTAAAAAAAGGCGCCTCTCACTGCAAAAAACACGTTCTGTCTGATCGGGGCCTAAAACTACATAAAAGCAGACGGGCTGCATGAGGATGCAAATTCACTCTCTGTCAGCAGGAGGCACTTATGACATACATGGCAAATACAGCATTTCCTTGGTTACCACTGTCAACAAATCAGTGCTGCGCTTATAAACACTACTTTAATATACATTATGTGTGGTGCGTCTGGTTGACCTGCAGGGACATGATCTCCTCTTCAGGGGCATGCCGGTTCACGTCGTTGGCGGTGGTGGCTCGTGGAGGGCTGGGCTGCGGGTGCTGCTCCTGTCGGCGCTTATCCTTGCGGTAGTACAGAGCGGCGAACGCCAGAACGTTGAGGAACAGCAGAGAAGCTCCCACTGCGATGGTTACGCTCAGCTCGGTGGAGTAATCCCGTGGGTTCTCCACCACCAGAGGGCCTGGTTCCTCTTCTCCGTTCCACTGCTCCTTCCCGCTCTCGCTGTTGTAGGCTGGAGACATCGGAGGCCGCTTGGTGTTGAACGGCCAGGCTTTGCCGTTGGGACGTTTGGTGGACAGGGAGTTTTGAGTCGTCTCGGGCGGTGGCACTTTGGTGGTGGTGGAGGTGTAGTGGAACATGTCGTGAAGGTTGTACAGATGAGGGACCAGGTGCTTCCAGAACGCCACTTTAGTGGCGCGGTAGTGATCCCGGACTCGTGGCTTGAGGCCGATGTGCAGGTACAGCTGGTCTTGCGGGTTGTATTTGGACCAGGCTACCTCTTCGAAGCGATTGGCCTTTGTGTGGATGAACTTGGTGTCCTGAGGCACTGGTTTGTTGGGATCTCTGCAAAACAGATAGAAGATGAATAAATGAACTAAGCTGAGAAGGTTTTTCATGTAAAGTGTCATTGCTAGAGTTCAAGCAACACTTCACCCAAAAATTACAATTCTATCATCATTTATGCACCTTATATTTGTTCCCAAACCTGTGCGATATTCTTTTTTTTGTGGAATGCAAAAGAAGTTGTTTTGTTGAAGATTTATGCTGCTCTTTTTCAGTGAAAGCATACAGTGGGGATGTAATGATTCACTCAACTCACAATGCAATGTGATTCAAGATACGATTTTCTCACAATTTTTTTTAAATACAAAATTTATAAATGAAAAGTGTCATTTTATTATTCTTTAGAAAAAAATAATGCATATTTCTTTGTGAAATTTAAATATCTATGTCAAATAACAAAAACGAAGTGAAATTTTAAAACAAAAGTCCCAAATAAATAAATAAATGAATAAATAAATAAATAAATAAATCTCTTCATATAAACAAACTAAGGCTTTGCCTGTGCTCTTTCTCTTTTTTTAGCTTGGATTTAAAAAAAAATGAAATATCAGCATTTTTCAAGCAGAACATGCACCTTGTACAGAAAAGGCATTTGAAGCAAATTGACTTGTTCTGACAAATTATGCTACATAACTACATAAAAGCAGACGGGCTGCATGAGGATGCAAATTCAGGAGGCACTTATGACATACATGACAAATACGGCATTTCCTTGCCACTGTCAACAAATCAGTGCTGCGCTTATAAATACTACTTTAATGCGCATTATACAGAGGCAAGATGAAAAGAAAATACCATCTACGTTTCCGAAGACAGTCAGTTCCCTTCAGAGATACATTCACATAAACCCCCGCCCCCAATTATATCAAAATTCTTTTGACATCTCAACAGACTTGAATCGTCACATATTTTCAGAGATTTTCAACTGGCTCGGGGTGCATCGTTACATAGTGAGTAGGTACCATAAATGTAGTCCATACAACTCATATGCGAAATGCTAAAAAATGTTGTGAAATTCTGCAGAACATCCCCTTTTGTGTTTTGCAAATCACAGGATGTCATATACGTTGCAGAGGTGTCTAACTCAGCTCCTAGAGGGCCACAGTCCTACAGAGTTTAGGTCCAACTCCATTCCAACAAACATACCTGTAGTTTTCAAATGAGTCTGAAGGACTTGATTAGCTGGATCAGGTGCATTTAATTAAGGTTGAAGCTAAACTCTGCAGGGCTGTGGCCCTCCAAGAACTGAATTTGACAGCCCTGTCATACAGCTTTGGAATGATATGAGGGTGAGAAAAGGATAGCAGAATTTTTATTACAACTATCCTTGTTAAGTTGTTGGTTCATTCCCATTAAATTCACCATTTGTTGTGCAATCCTCAACCTCAGGATACTGTAAGGCAGGGGTGTCTACTCCTGTTCCCGGAGGGCCACATTCCAGTAGAGTTTAGCTCCGATCCTAATCAAGTTTGGGATTACTACAAACTTCCAGGGAAGTGTCTCTGGGCAGATTGGACATAAACTCAACAAGACATTGGCCCTCCAGAAGCAGGACTGGACACTGACTCTTTCAGAACAATTGGATTAAGACGTCTGCTAAATGAAACCTTACTATTATCATGATCATACTTTACAATCTTTCTTTTCTTCGACACCTTCCGTCTTGCTCAGGCTAAGCATGCATAAAGACACAAACAACTTGCATCCTTTCGCATTTCAACCCCTGGAGTTTGCGCTAATCAACAAAACAATATTACGTCCACCGACGTTCCTCCTCATCACTGCACTACTATCTGTCTTGTTTCACCTTCTTGTATAAAGCTTCCTGGCACTTCTTCCGAATCATCATTTTCTATTTCTCCTCAGTGTGACATTACGTTACAGCTCATATCTCTAAGCACCCATTCCTGCTGGGCTTCACGCATCCTCGGCTCATTCTCTATAAAAAAGAGATGGGCCAGAGGCTTTTAAAGTGAAACACAAATGAATAAATCAACAGCTGAGATGTGCTTCAGGATGCAACTTGTTTTTGATAAAACAACAGCAGTGCATCCATTCCGTTAATTGCTTTGGGAAAGCAGTGCAGATTGCATTAACAGCGAGTCTGCTGATAGAAAGTGGACCATATTAATCTAAACGCTAAAGGAGGGAAGCTGGCAAAGGGCCCTCGTGTGTGTGTGTGTGTGTGTAGTATTACCCTTTAACCTCCAGGGGTCACTGTTTCTCCAACTGATATTACAAGCTCACAGAAGGCAAAGCAAGGTGGCGTCCAATCTCCACGGTACTATGGAGTTATCGTCTATATGAACATATGGCATCTAAATAATCACATCTACTTGTTGTCTTTTAGCTCCACACGTGACTATCCTAAGCTTTTAAGAGCAATATAATGATTTTATCAGAAGTCATTTTTTTAATGACTGTCAATGAAGGAATATGCTTTTTGCTGCCACATGGTATGATTCAACAAACAAGAGCTAACAGGGACATGCTAACCAGCTAAACCTTGACCCCTCATCCGTGATAAAACACTGCTAGATGAAACAATGCAACAATGTTTCAGACTCTATCTAATGAAGAGACATCCCATGAAAGGATATCAGACGAAAAATAGCTTCTTTGGCTAATTCTGGCACATGCTTATTAATGTGCATTGCCCCTGTAAACAAATAAACTGAACTAAACAAAATCACTGGTGTGCCCTCGAGCGAGTCGTTCAATTCTACTGTAGGGACAGTCGCTGTCGCCAATGTTTTGTAATTCACAGTGGATGAAACGTGACAACAAGTCAAGATTGCAGCTGTCTGTCCTTATACTGTCTGTCTGCCAGTGGTTGTTAAGCGCCTTTGCATATCTGTGGAAAGAGTCCTATCAGAAAATGCACAAACACCACAATAACAACATGCAATATGGCTAGCTTAAAGACAAATAACATGCTTTTATGTTTTTTGTGCTTTTTCTCTTGTCAGTGCCTCTGCAAGCAGAGAAGTAAATGGAGATAGGTTGAATGTCAGCTAGAAGCCAATAAATAACCGGTTTTATTAGGCTGATAATGATCCCCAATGAATATTGGCACCATGATGACTTTGTAGCTGAATATCAGTAATTAAGTTTCAAAGAAGCAGGCAGCAGAGGTAAGGTCATATTGATCTGCCACGGTGCAACATGCCAGAGAACAGGACATCAATGAAGCCGCAGCGGCGCAGCATATATATGAATTCTTGCTGCGTGGCGTGCGAGTGGCAGTCGGTGTACCTGGGGCATTCTCGCTTAATAGGAAACGCTAGAATCTCAATATCACCGCGCGTCTCATAATTGTCAATCAACCGACTTGCAGGACACAGCATATTTGTGTTTGCGGCTGGGTTTTCAATGCTGATTTGAGGTCAGTTGTGATGTTTTAGATGTGTCTTCAGAGGCTGTTGATCTGCACTGATGACATACTTTGTGTGGGTGTTTCACACGTGAGGGTTTAGCTCGAGATTAATGTGTTGATGTAAATGAAGATGAATAATTACTGCCTGTAGTGCTACCAGACAGCACAAGTACTAATGATCACACTTAAGGATAGGGATAGTTCAAAAAAATTATTATTTTTTTTTATTAAAAGTATTCGGTTTTAGCGTGCAACCCTTACAGCACCATTTGTGATATGCACATGAATGCAATCTCAAATAATGGGCAATCTCAAAGAGGAAATTACATTTCAAAAACATAAACTCATAAATCTGACAGCTTAGAATTGTGATTTCCAACATTAGGGACAAACTCAAAAAGAGAAGGAATACTGGAAAACACTGAAGATTAGCCAAAAAGTCTGTCGATTGTGAGTTGTTTCCTCACAAAGCCAGTTCATTTAGAGTATTGAAGACTCTTCTTCATTGACATCCATTAAAAAGGCCTCTTGTCTAAGGTTTCTTGTCTCCTTTCCAGTGTCCTGGGGGGGGGGGCAGTCTGAGTCATTCAATGTTTGTGAAGTCTCATTCTTCCTGCAGTTATGCCTGTACATACTGAGCTCATGTTTTGGTTACGTTACTGATCTCTTGCATGTTTTGTCTGTCATTTTGGATTTTTTAGCCTCATTTATTGGACCAGTGTTATTTTATTATCATTGAGATACTATTATAGTTTTTATTAATATTTAGAATTTGTTTTCATTTTCATCTTTATATTTCTTGTTTGCATTTTTGTTAAATTATTATTATTATTTCAGATAGTTGCTAAGGCAACATTTCTCATTTTCATTTAGTTTAACTTGATGTATTAAAACTATTATTATTATTATTATTATCATTATTAATAATAAAAAAAATAATAATGATAATAAAAGACTTTAAAAAAAAATTTAAATTTTTTTTTTAGTTAACTATAATAACCCTGATTGAATATTTGGATTTTGACCATGGCATATTGTATAATACATAATAATTGTATAATAAACTTCAAGTTCACTGCCTTTGTTACAGTAGGTAACTAGACCTATGTCAGTAATGTATAATAAGCTGGTTCCCCATTACAGAGAATTAGCTGGCGGTGCTCTGTCAGGTCGCCCACTCAAATCGGCTCCTAAACCGCTCAAATGTTTCTACAGTTCAGGCCACTTGGGCTTGCTCAGTGAAGCAGTACTTCAACCTCTATCAGCGCCACTCATTCAGATCTCAGGCCCTGAGAGGAAACTACTCCACGACCACTGAGATTCTGAAACTAGGTTGGACTTCCTAAACGCCATCCTAACACCAAAGGGAGAGGTCTGTCTGCAGATATTTTCGTCAAAGGATCTGATCTTAGCAGTGCAATATTCTAGTTTCCTAGTAGCAAATTAAGTCTGGACAAAATTCCACTGTTAATGGACAATAATTTATATATTATTTATTTATTTAATTTATGAATTTATTGTTTTAATTAGTGGTGCTTGTTAAGGCTAATTGTTTGTACTTCTAAACCCCTTAGTATTAAACTTTTGTGCACTTTTTACGGACCTGAATGATACCTTAAATCAT